CTCTCTCTCTCTCTCTCTCTCTCTGTGTGTGTGTGTGTGTTGTTTATTACAATACACCTTTTGTTTTTCTGCAAGAACTATACCAAAAGGAGTTGTCTCATGGGTTGATGCCAAACTGAGGAAACAACAAGCCATAATCAACAACAAGGTCTGAAATTTTTCCTTTTTTTCCTTTTTTTTTCTCAAGACTCAAAACAAAAACAAAAATAAAACAAAAAACCCATTAAAAAAAATCAAACCTTTGAAGGAATTAATGAACAAAAAAATTATTACTTCACCTGATTCTTACACACACACACACACACACACACCTCTCTCTTTTTGTCCATTTTTCACCTACTTTTTAGCCTTTCTTTAGGTATTTTAGTGTGTGTGTTTTGTTTTTTGTCTTTAGATCCCAAATACTATTGTCTTATAGCTACCAACAAAGACTACTCAGATCTGTAAACACTTAAAAAATCTCTCTATCTCAAATTCTCAAATTCAAAAAAAAAAAGAAAGAAAAATGAGAGAGAGAGAGTGAGATAAATCATTTATTTATATTTACATATATATAATTTTTTATTTTTTATTTTGAATTTGTGAGCAAAAAGAATATATATAAAAAAAAAAAAAAAATGATGAATAATTTTGCAGACAAGCAGCAGCAAAATCCTTACGGTGAAGAGAAAATGTCCAATCTAACCTCGGTCTCTAATGAAGCAATAAGTGTTTCTTCTTCTACTAACATAAATGGCGGCGCCGTGTTTTCCACTGCGCAGCAGTACAATTTCCCACCGCCGGCCGCTTCTCAGCCTCCGCCGGCCAAGAAGAAGAGAAATCAACCAGGCCATCCAGGTAATATATATATATATATATAATTTCATAATTAATTAATAAACAAATAAATAAGTATCAAATATCTCCTTCTCTCCAAATATTTCTAAGTTCATAAAATTAATTAATTAATTTCTTGCTCATTTTAATTTTAATTTTTTTTTTTCAAGATTTCAATATTCTGCAAAATGAAGTTCTTGTCACATAGATACCATATTGTTACAATTTTTTCATTATTTCATTCTTCTTGGCTCATAAATAAATAAATAAATAAATAAATAATGATTTCTTGAACTGAATAATTTTGTATATATGAACTCAAGGCAAACTTTGATTCTTCCATTTTTATTTATTTTTTTAATAA